AGATAATGACCACTAGCATGATCAACAGTGAATGCTGGATTTATTTACTTGCTACATAGCAGACACAGGCAGGAAATAAAGCCATTGAGTGGCTGGTTCACTGAGGCAGAAGAGGCAGGAGTGGGTGGGAATGTTCACAGTGCATCTTTGAAGTCGTGGTAGGGAGTTTGCCATGCTGTGTATGGTTGGTTAAATCCAGGTGCTGTTGTTGATTGGATGCATTAATCTGCTCAAGTTGCTATAGGAGAATAAGTATAGACTAAGTGGTTTAAACAACAGAAAGGTATTTTCTCACAGTTCTGGAGGCTGAAAGTCCCAGATCAAGGTGTCAGAACAGTTTCTGGGGAAGATTTTCTTTACAGTTTGTAGATGACCACTTTCTATGTTCTCACATAGTCTTTTCTTGGACATGGCAAGGGAATGGGAGGGAAGGGAAGAGAGAGGGAGAAGAGAGGGAAGAAGAAGAGAGGGAGGGAGAGGGAAAAAGGGAGGGAGGGAGGGAGAGAGAGAGAGAGAGAGCACAAAAGGGGGCTGAACACCTCCTTTTATAATGAACCCAATCCCAAGATAATGGCATTAATCATTTACTCTGTCTTCCTAGCCTGGTCACCTCTCAGCAGGCCCGGCCTCCCAACACTGTTAAGTTGAAGAGGAAGCTTCCAATGCAGGTTTTTGGGGGGACACATTGAAGCCAAAAACTTATATTATCCACAAGGCAGAGCATCAATGTGAAAACACATGTTCAAAAATATGTGGCACCCCCCAATGTAATATTTTAATATTAGTATTCAAAAGAATGACTTGAATTGGTTTTAATGGTTTGAAATGCAGATTCTTGTTCAGTAGGTCCAGGACTAATCCTAATAATCCACATAGTAAACAAGCTCTGCCAGAGATTCTAAAGCAGATGCACTTATTACTCTAAGAAACAGTGAACATATGGAGCCTTTTGGGCTGCTAAGATGGTATTGTGAATAACTTGAGTAGCTCCAATAACAGGAAGTCTTTACATAGAGCTTACTTTGTGCCAGGCTTTATGCTAATATATTAATTCATTTAAATTTCACAACACCCCTAAGATGCATGTACTATCATTACTCTTAATTTACATTTTAAGAGGCAGGGCCCATAAACATAAAGTGACTCTTCTGAGAACAGGTGGCTAACAAATAGCAGAGCTGGGACTTGCACACAGACGGAATTGGCTCCAGAATCCAAGTCTTAATGGCTGCCCTCTGCTAACCCGTCCTCTGACTGATGATCTCCATCATCTATAAAAATCACGAAGAAGTGAAAACTCGGTTCAATCCCATAAACTATGGTTGCCACACAACCAACTGTGTGATTTCCAACAAATTGTTTTAACTACTTTGGCCTTTCTCACCAATAAAATGAAATAGTTATATTTCACATGTGACGATTTTGTGAAACTAAGAATCACGTAAAGAAAATCCAGCTGGTCATCTGTAGCAAGAAGGGAGCCAGTTTAATGAGAGCCTGTTGATGCCAGATGCTGTATTGAAATTGCATCACTTAAGCCTTTGAGCCCTTTGTTTCAAAGTGACTGGGTCCAATCTCATATTAAATTAAACCAAAAATAGAAGAAGAATTCACCAGTTTACCAGTTAGTTGGCTGAGACCAGATTTGAAGATAAAGTCTTAATTTTCCTGACCTCTAATCCTCTTGTCTCCTTCAATTCCCTCCTCCCCTCTTATGTACCTTGTGATTTTTTTCTGCTTATCTTATTGTGCTTTAGCAAAAGTGACCCTGTGAGAGCTCCAGTCTTTCATCAATAATGGTGTGACAATACATTTAAGTACCCAGAAATAAATAATAAAACTATCCCTTCTCCATCATTTATATCAGTTTCCAGTCAAGATTGTGGCTCAGTGTGGGTTGTATGCCCACCTCAAGCCAGTTTTTGTGCCTAGATGATGACGTATTATGATTGGCCAATGGCCTTCTTAATAAGAAGGATGGAACTATTGATTGGCAGTGCTCTTAGTGTGACAGGGGGATGAGAATGGGTGTGTCTTAAGAGCTTTACTAGTTATGTAAGAATAGTGATTATAATTGATGTGAGCTATTCTAGGTATATGTACTTCATTACTCATCTTCATATTTTAATTGAAAATTTTATTGAGATAATTGTAGATTTACCTAAAATTGTAAGGAATAAGAGAGATCTTGTGTATCCTTTACCTAATGTATCCCAAAGTTAAGACTGCACAAAACTGTAGTACATGGGATATTGACTTTGATATAGTTTACTAATCTTATCACATTTCCCATCTTTTACTTCTGTTTGTGCATATGTGTCTGCGTGCATATGTGTGTTTGTGTATGCCTACTTACAATTTTATCATCTTATATTATTTTAAATTAATTAGTATAGTTAAAAATGTACCAATAAATGTAATTAATTAAAAAAAGAGACTTGGGCAGGGAAAAAAGAATCAATTGAAAAATGCCATAGCAAGGAGAATGAAGGTGCACGTAGGTACAAAGCCCATGATTGGCTTGGTGAGAATCACCAAAGGATGAGAAGGCTGGTAGAACCAGGACACATGGAAAGATAAAACCAGAAAAACTTGGACTTCTTCCACAGCTGAACAGTTGTGCAAATGTCCTGATAAATGGCCAAATAAATACCCACAAAGTCCTCCCTGTCTATGCAGAGATACCTGTGGTTTCTCGAAGTACAGTGCTGCTTCCTTTTTAGCTTTAAAACAAGTGAGATACAATGAACACACATGAAACTGCTCGTATTTAACATAAACAGTTTGGTAAGTTTAGACATATGTTCATACTCATAACACCATCACCACAACCAAGGCAGTGTGCAGGTCCATCTTCCACAGAAGCTTCCTTGTTTCTCTTTTGAATCCCTTCCTCTTTTTCTTCCCCATATCCTGTATTAGTCAGCTTGGGCTGCTGTTAGGTTTTAGACCATTTTAGAATGTTCCCCCAAAGCCTCATGCACTTGGAGGCAGGGCTTTTGGAAGGTGATTATATCATGGGGCCGTCATAGTTGATTTGCTCTTAGGAGGTAGAGCCTGGCTAGAAGCAGGTCAATCTGGGGCATGACCTGGAAGGGTGTCTCTCTCTCTCTTCTACTCTTTCCCTTTCTCTCTGCTTCCTGACTGCTGTGACTTGAGCAGCTTCTCCTCTGCCAGACCCTGGCATCCCACCATTCCTGTCTTGGAACTGGCCATCTATGGACTGAATCCTCTAAAAATCCTGAGTCAAAATAAACCTCTCCTCCTTTACATTGTGGGTGTTGGGTATTTTGCCCCAGCAACAAGAGAAGCCGCCCTAACAAAATACCATATACCGGATGGTTTATAAGCAGAAACTTATGTCTCACAGTTTTGGAGGCTGGAAGTGTGAGATCAGGATGCCAGCCTGTCGGGGTTTCGTGAGGGCCCCTTCCCTTGCTTGTAGATGACTGCCTTCTTACTGTGTTCTCACATGGTGGAGAGAGACAGTGAGTAATCTGACCTGTGTCTCAGAAAGGCACTAAGCCTGTCACAAAGGCTCCACCTTATGATTTAACCTCATCCCAAAGGCATAATCCCCAAATATCATCAATTGGGAGTTAGGTCTCCGACATAGGAATTTTGGGAGACACAATTCGGTGCACCGATCTCCAACTTTGCAGGTGATCACTAATCTGCTTCTCTCACTAAATATTAGTTTGGATTTTCTAGAATCCTTCATAAATGAAATCATAACAAAGAATATGTATACTTTTTTGTTTAGTTCTTTCATTTGCCATTGCAATTTTGAGCCATCCACGTTGATACATATATCAATTCATTCCTTTTCATGGCTGAGTGATGTTCCATCCTATGGTTGTAACACAGTTCCTCCATTCACCCAGTGGATGCTTCTTTGACCAGGGAAATCTTTAGCAAGACAGGGATCCCTGATGTCCAGGTCCATTACTCCTGGATGCCTATGAGGTCTTCAGTGCTGTCAGCCCTCACCATTTTCTCTTTCACAACACCTTTGTCTTCCCACCTGGAATGCACATGGATTCATTTTCTAGTGCTGCTATGATAAACTGAGTGGTTTAAAACAATGGAAATTCATTCTTTCATGGTTCTGGAGGTGAGAGGTCTAAATCAAGATGTTAGCAGACTGTGCCCTTTCAAAATCTCTAGAAGAAGATCTGTCCCTGTTTATTCCACTTTCTTGTGGCTTTAGTTGTTTCTTCAGTTGTGGCACCAAAACTCCAGTTTTTGCTTCTTCTTCACATAGCTTTTTCTCCTGTTTCTATTTTTATCTTCTCTTTTGATGTCTCTTACAAGGACAGTCATCATTAGAGTTAGGGCCCATCACAGTCCAGAATGATCTTACCTAGCTATTACTTCCTAATTACATCTTCCTGGACTTTATTACAAACAGATCAGTCCCATTTTCTGGATTCTTTTGATTCCAACTTGTATGGCTCCTTCTTTCTAGCTGGTCCAGTGACAATTTCAATAGCTCCTAAGCTAAATGTGATTCAGGTGGGATAAAGAATATCTGTTCCAGCCCAAGCTAAGTTCCTTTTCATACCTTCTTAGAGATGCCCCCTACTTCCCCATGGTGTATTCCTCCTTGCAGCAGTCACTAAACCCAATTTATTCAAATATGTGCTATAGGGAATTGAATAGTGAATCCCTCAAACATATGTCACCCGGAACTTCAGAATGAAGGTTGGCCAAGGGAAGGTGAACAGGTGCTGTTTATTCCACCACAATCACATCTCACTTAAAAGTTGGGCAAGACTTTGGTTAGTCATTGTACCAGCTGTGATGGACAGGCCAAGAGTGGTGGCTGCAAGTGATACACAATAGCAGTGATGATGGCTATAAAGGGACCATGCCTGCTTTTGTCTGCTTTGGTCACCACTCAAACCAGTTACTGGCATGCAGTTTGGTGGAGGTTAAATATTTATTGAATAAACGAAAACATCAGATTTGATTTTTTTCTTTCATTTATTTTCCCACAGGAGTGGTCCCATTGCCAAAGTTCGCAGCTTACAACTCAACGAAGGCAGCTCTGACTATGTTTTCTTCAATTATGAGGCAAGAACTTTCTGCATGGGGAGTAAAAGTCTCTGTGGTCCAGCCTGGAGGCTTCCGAACAAGTAGGTATCTGAGCCTAATATCCACCATACTCATCCTGGAAAAATCCTGCAGTTCCCCTTGTTCTGAGAGAGCACAGATTGAGCTCCTCAGGGTTGTCAAAGATGGACAGTCAGTGATCAGTTAAAGGAGTGAAAACAGATTTTACTCAGTCAATATTAAGAGCTGAGCTCCATTGCAATGTGTGCAGAGCTAATTTAGGCTTTTTAAAGGAAGAGGGCAGAGTGGAAAGAGTAGGGCCTAATAGAGTCAGACAAAAGGGAAGTACACAGGCTTGATTAGCGTGAATGTGAGGCCAGGATTCCACTGTATTGCTGGGAACAGAGGCCTTATCCTTCTGGATGATTCCATCTCAAAGGAGTGGCACTCAGTGGTTGAGGGAGATGCAAGATCGATCTATCTATCTATCTATCTATCTATCTATCTATCTATGTATCTATCTATCTATCCATCTAAAGAATTTTTGAGTAAATGCCCCCAGAAAGGAAGGCCAGGAGCCAATCACCGAGGTGTGTGGGATAGAACAAATGTGGGTTCTTATGACCCCCGTGAGCCTTCTCAGCTTGTATTTAATGAGGAGCTGATGTCATGCTAGGGACAGGGCCTGATGCTGCCAGAAGCTGTCCTAGAATGCGGTCAGGCCTTAGTGCAGGGTTGGGTGGGAGTTGTCATATGCCCTGTGTGTGCAGTCCACAGGTCTATCAAAGAGAGATTGAGATGGACGGGCTTCATCTAAAAATTGAGGGGCAAGTATGGGTGCTCCTCTGCCTCCTTCCTTGGAGGAGCTGAGTTGGCTCAAAAGTTGTAGCAAGCAGAGGCCATGATGGGTATAAACCCAGGTCCCCTGATGGTGACTCAGCAGGATATTTCACATTCCCTTCCTTAGTGGTTGAGTTTTATTTGACCTACAGGAACACAGCACAGAAATGGTCCCAGTTCTCATCATTAACAATAAAAAAAAGTTATTGGGAAAAGAACCCAAGGGTGCTCTACCACTCAACTATGTCCTATGCCCTTTTAATCTTGTTTTATTTTGAGACAGGGTCTCACTAAGTTGCCCTGGATGGCCTTGAGCCTTGATCTTCTTGGATCAGCTTTGTTGGCCCAGCTGGGATTATAGGCCTATGCCGTGACACCTAGCTTTCAAGGATTTTGATCATTTTTGCTGTGTCTTCCAAACTTCTCTTCCAATATATAATCTATGAGCCTTACATCACTTTGTTGATTTAGAGTTATTTTCATGTAAAAAGCCCAAGCTGATAATGCCAGGTAACATTTATTAGTCTCCCATTCCCATTGACCAAGATGGGTTTTGTTCTAGGTTCTTTGTATTTTGAAGACATTATTTCTCCCCTCCCTTCTGAACAACATGGCCCATCTCTCCTTGCCCTGGGGGATAGCCACCTTTGGCTTTTCGTTTCCTGAAATCTGAACTTTGGGCAAAGGCAGAGGACCTCAAGGATAAGTTCTTCATTCTGGGTCATCACACATTTAATTGGTAACTTTAATGAAAAAAGCATGTCTAATGAAAGGCCACAAACTTGGAGATATTGCTCACAGACTAAAAAATAAGCTTTAAAGGTTTGTATGTTAGCCCAAATGTACAAGATAAAATCTAAAGGAAATACTGAACTTTTGGTTTAAAGCACTTGGCAGCTGGGAACCTCACAGGGTAGTGGAGGATGCTCAAGATACATGGAGAATGTTATCATGGGAGGGAGGTGAAAGAAAGGGACATTGGCCACTCAGGTTTAGAGGCAGCACCAGCAGTAGAAATAGGGAAAAGATGAAGGTGTTTCCAACCTGGTGACTCTCATGGAGGGAGGAGAATTGAAGGGACTTGATGGAGAAGGGGAGTGGATCAAAGATGAAACCAAGAGTGGCAGATGGGAGGACTGGGATAGAAAGGGTATTAAAGAGAGGAAAAACAGCTGGGAGCCAGTGGAAGAGGAAAATGACAAACTAGATTTTGGAAACTGGCAGGAAGATCAAGGGTTTGGTGCACATCCCAAAGAAAACTTTCAATGCACACCCGCAAGACTCCATTTGAACAAGAGATCAACGCTGCTGTTAAGTTTTACTTCCAGAATTCAGTGTAATCACTATAGATAACATTTCTGGGGAGCTGCTCTTATTAGGCACTGGGCTACTCACTTGCCATTCATTGCTGGTGTAGTTGACTTATTTAAATGGATAACTGTAAAATATATTATAATATATTGTATATATGTGATTATGACACACAAACATAATTTAACAACTTATTATGCACACATATACTTAATACCCAGATCAAAAATAAAACATCACTAGTGCCCAGATGCCCCCATATGATTTTTTTCTGTCAAAACCCTCTCCCCTGCCCCAATAGTAGCCACTCCCATGTGTCATGTAATGATTATTAATTTGCTTTTCTTTACAGGGTTACATCTACTCATGCAATCCTAAACAATTCTGGTTTTCTAACTTTAAATGGGTTCAATATATGTGTATCCTTTGGTGTCTAGCTTCTTTCTCTAAACATTGTGCTTTTATAATTCATCTATGTTGTATGTAGCTATGGTTTAGTCATTTTCATTGTTGTGTGGTTCTCTATGAATATGCCATCATTTTTCTAATGTTGATGGAATATTTAGGTCACTTCTAGTTTGGAACAATTATGGACAGTGCAGGTATGGGGATTCTAGTGTGTGTGCTGTGTGTTTTGTGCCTATGAATTCTTCTATGACACATCTCAGAAGTGGAATGACTAGATCATAGACTTTACCTATCTCCAATTTGTCTCAATACCAAAGTATTGTTCCAATTTATACTTCCACTTTTTCTGCATTTAAAAATTTTGATAGGCACATGGTAATTGTATATAATTGTGGAGTACATAATGCAGTACATGCACACAATTATAATGAGCAAATCAGGACAGTTAGTTTGTTCATCCTCTTAGATATTTATCATTTCTTTCTTTCTTTGAGACCAGGTCTCACTACATTGCCCAATCTTGCCTCAAATTCACGACCCTTGTTGTCTCAGCCTCCCAGGTAGCTAGGATCACAGGTGCATGATTCCATGTCTGGCTTTATCATTTCTTTCTGCTGGGAAAATCTGAACTCTTCTTGTTCTTTATAAAATATGTGAGGAGTAGGTTTAATTGACATTATTCTCAGGTGAGGGCACATAGGTAAGATTGGTAGTATGCCCTAGGGTAGATGTCCCACACACCCAGATGGTGGGGAGTTAGAAACCCATGTGTAGTGCCTGGGTTCATCCTTTCATACCAGGCTGACACAGTTTAGAGTTGATATTTGATGAGGTTTCTGAAGGCAAGAGGTTAGAGAGCAGAGGGAAGAAAACTGAAGATTGGAAACTGATGCTTCATGTGTATATTTAATGGAAGATGGAGGCAAAGAAAAGAAGCTACCAAGAGACAGACAAGGAGCTTCTGAAGACATTCAAGGAAATGGATGAGATTTTGTTAGTGCCCCACAATAAAAATAGCTAACACACATTTCATGCTTAGCACATGTTAAGCACTTTATGTGCTTTATCTCATTTAATCCTCACCCCTGAAGTACACATCGTGATATTTCCACCTTGCACTGAGAAAACTGAGATTCAAAGAAGTTTAAGACTCTTCCCAAGCCAAACAGCAGACAAGAGGCAGAGATGGGATTTAGATCCAGGTCACGTTAGCAACTTCATTGTGTTTTGTGCCAAAGTGGTGGAGAATGGGTGGGTTGCTCAAAATGACAGATGGTAGTGTTTTTTTTTCCTTTAAGTTTATTGGTACATTTTAGGTATAAAATACAGTTATGTTCACCATTGGGATCTTGTACCATTACATGAGTATCTTGGTCCTTATTTTTTCCCCCTTCCCCTGCCCTCCCTTCACCCCCTCCACCCTTCCTTATTTGCAAAAACTTTGTTTCCATTTTTTTCTTTTCTCATATTTTTTCTTTTCCCTTCTTTCTTTTTCCTTACCCCTCCCACTTCCCCTGTTCCTTTAGACCTTTTCTTCCTATTACACAATATCAATTATACATTTTTTAAATTGCAATATCAAAATTTAGAGGACATTACCACAGGTTTTACAGAGTTTAAAAGGATATAGAAAGCATATTACAAAAGTCTTTCTTGAAATAAATTTGACAACTTCTAAGAAGTACCTTTGAAGACAAATTAATGAAACTGACTCTGGAGAAAATATAAAATTTGAAGAGCACCTATTAAAGAAAGTATATTCCTAACTTGAAAACCTACCTATATGACAACAACAGGCTCATATACATATTAACTGAGAAATTATATCAAACATTTAAAGTAGAAGAAAGAAGGAACACTTCTCCCCTCATTTTAGGAAATCATCATTGTGGTAATATTAAAACTGGATAAAGATAATAGAAGAAAAAAGTATGAAATAGATACAAATTAGTTTAACAAAACAAACTACTAGAAGTCAGATCTGGCAGTATGTAGAAAGTGGTTTTATTATAGGGATTGCAGTGTTGGTTCAGCATTGGAAGATCCACCCCTATAAGTAACATTTTAACAGAGGAAAGGAAAAAGCCATATGATCCTGTCAGTAGTTGCAGAAAAAGTATTGGACTAAATTCTACAGCTGTTCATGATAAAAGCTATCAGGAGACTAAAAGCAGAACAGAACCTTCTCAACCGATTAAAGACATGTGCTCCATACTTCCAGCGAGAACGCCTTATATGAATGCAGAAGATACAATGCTTTCTCCCTAAGGTAGGGAACAAGGGCAGATATGCCTACTCTTCATCTCTCCATTAAACTTTGAAACCTAGGCCCAAACCAAAATAGTCTGGCAATAAAAAGACACAATTAGGATAGGATTGGCAAGGTAGAAGTAAAATCCTTATGTGTAGATGAAATGCTCATGTACAGAGAAAATACTAAGAAATCTCCAGGAGCCCCTAGAACTTGTATTTGAATTTAGTACAATTAGAAAACACAAGGTATATATAAAAATTCAGGTCTATG